CGAGTGTTCCGAGATCTTGACACGCAAAGATGTTTTTATTGGTCCTCTTGTTACTCCACTCTTTCAGTGACAAAGCTGAAACCAAGAATTCTAGTCTATTTGAGTATCATATCTGTAGGGCTCGATAGGAAATGCCTCCGAGATTGTGATTGTATGACGCAGGGAACACCATGCCAAAACCATGCGTCTAACAAAATCGAGAAACTAGAAACCAAAAAGAAAACTACTACTTCCTATTCGAGAAAGAACCAAGACTAACTAACTGAATATCCCCGTATTCATGATCCCGACCTCTGCGAGTACTAGAATGGAATAATAAACCATAAAACATGCCATCTCGACATCATTCATACCTTGAGGAGCACCTCAAATGCAAGCCTCGTAAAACATGCACAAAAGTATAAAGGTAAATATTCAAAATGGCATTATACCCACGATTTCCACGCAGCCTACACGTTCGCGAAACTTCCTCACTTCGGCCTAACGGGCAACTCTAAATAAACAAAAGCCAGCATGAACTACTCACCACCCCTGCCTTCTATCCCCGTCTCGCATCATATTCGCTTACCGCAACTTGCTTGTACGTGGAGACGGGCATATCCCAGACCGCCCAGAGGAGCGTTCTCCTTGTACTTCCTCTGGCCCCAGTTAACCCTCGCCACGATGCGCATATCATTAAGGTTACCGTACAACTTGGAGCACCATCAGAAACCAAGGAAAATTATCCTACCGCCCTATCAGAACCCCCTCGGCACCCCCAGGACCCTGAAAATCACGTATGGGACGAGGAAAGTCTAAAGACTAAATGTGCCTCTTGCTTTCGGGGATCTCGCTTAAGACCTCCATGCCCTAGTTTCTTGGAAGGGGATTCCCTACAAGTAACTTTCCATTCGTAAGTTACCTAAACGGGAACCCTGGTTTGTGATTAACTAATGCATGGTCGGCTCGAGGAGAGCTGCACGACCAACAACCTTCTCGCGGGGAAGAATTCCAGAAACATTAAAGGATTTTCTCCGAACATTGACTTTCCTGGTAAACATGGCGACTACACACCTTTCAATCTTTTACACTTTTAGTGACCACATCAATGACAACATTCCGTCGCAGAGAGAACACTTGCAAGGCGACAGACTACCGTTAGAAAATCAAGGCAGTAGGTGTTTCTCCAATTTTATCCCCCTCCTCGTCATATTACCTGGTCCAATCCTTCCAAAAAGGCCCGTTCAGCACCTCCATACGCACGTCACACCCAAGAGAAAACCCTCAAGGGCACGAGAACTCTTTTCTACGAAGTATACATCCATCCATTCAGAAAACCTCATCTACACCAATCACACCCCTCCCCTCCACCACATGTTCATCAGACCAAAACTTCCAAAATGCTTCTCTGCCTCCCAAACCAAAAAGGTTCTTCCTCTAGCGGCAGCACAAACTTTCGAACCAGTGGCGGGGATAGGGTAGGCGGGGAGGATTTCTAGAAGTAAAAAACCACCAAGCCAAGACTTAACCTCCACACCTACGAACCTAAAACCACAACACCCGCCCATCAACGAAGGAACCCAAAAAACAAGCCTTTGAATTCCCACCTTCTCAATCTTATCTTCTCACTCCCCAACCCCCGTCCCTAGAGCTTCGGTCGAGAGTCTTCCGCACACGCCAACCACCCAACCCATTTTTAGATCTTACCAAAGGAAATCTTACCGAAGGACGGACATCTTACCGAAGTCCCTCGACATGGGGACAAGCGAGCCAAGGAGGGGAGAGAAGAGGACGGGGATGTACGAAGTACGAGGGTACTGCTAGATGTAGAAGGCGCAAAATAAGGTGTTGCCAAGGAAGTGACATGTCGAAAGGGGAAGAATTTAACGATGGCACTGTGAGACTAGACAGTTAAGGATCTGGAATAGGGTACATGTTGTATTAAGGTATTCCCTATACGGCACAGGGTCTGTTTGAATAGGCTTAGCCGCTTACGAGACCATTCTCGTACATGTACGTAGGGAAGTGAGAATGTTGACGGAAGTTTGCCTTGTTCCCCAAACATAGGACGTTGCGTCAACTTTCCATGAATATTTCCTCAAAAGCAAAACCAAGAACAAAAACGAAGACAAAATAATATACTATAGGGATGATTATTAATAAAACAACCCAAGGTAATTGACGTAACTAACCACGTAATCCTCCAAGTAAATCCCCATCACATCTTAACCTGTCCGTATTCGAACCTGAAACATCAAAGAACTCCCACATCTACAACTCACGTAATACGAAGTACCTCCACAAACTACCAAGAACCCCACCAATCCCAAACCTCTCCATCGCTAAGGAAAAAACCCAAACCTTCAAAACCAGGTTCAACAAAAGCCGACAAGCAAAAGAGTCTCACACCACAGAATTAAACTTTTTCGCTCAACCTACCTACTGTAACTACTTCTTAGTAAGTGCCCCAGTACGGAGCAGTTTGTTGCCTTCACGGTAAGCATCCCGAGTACCGAGATTTACGGAGTAAATCTACACTATATTGCATGCTTGAAGAAGGCTGTTTATTACAGGTCGTTACATAGAACCAGCGCATTTAACGAGGGGAAAAATAGGACGAAACAGGTTTCTTTCCTCGATGTCTATGATATCGTCATACTTCCTCCCAGACGTACTCTCGAGGTACTATAAAAAACGTAATCACTCAGTAGAGATGTTACCCTATAAACCCTATTTCTTTCCCGTTCTTTTACGCCTGGTAGGAAGTACTATAACACATGCAACAACGAAAGTTATAGATTATATTAGGAAAGGGTATGGGTTAGGTTTATACCTACCTACCTAGTATCGGGTTCTCCCCCCTTCCTTCCGCCCTACCCACCTCCTTGTCGCTTTCTGATATAAATACATGGCTCAGTTTATAATGCTTTCTGACTACGATAGCCGAATATAGGAAGAGGGCCCGCCGTGCCCCGGAGTGCTAAAAATCCAAAAAAAGGCCTTGCCAAAAATTGCAGCGGAAGTACCCGTGCTTTACTGTCGACGACGTCGGTATTTGTAAGGTAGGTACCTCGACGTTTATTCGTGGAATATACCGAAGTATATTCAAAACTTTAGTATTCTAAAAAAACTCGAGCTAACCCGTAGCCCTAACCCTAACTCTAAACCGTCACGACGGTGAGGATGTGACAGTAAGGGTAGATAGATGTATGTGCCTTGAGGTATGAATACGCTTTTCCTATTTAATTTATACCTAAAACACCGCTATATAAAAGGGAAACGCCGAGTCATCGAGGGCGGCGGGGGGGGGATTGAAAAGCATTCATTATACCAAGGAGCGAAATAAAAAAGGATTATAGCTTAAGCTAAATACCTCTACAAGAATTGGGTGATCTAATTAGCCCTGTCTATAATAAGTCGTATACAGGACAGGGTGAGGGGGAGATATCCAAATTCAATGTTTCTTACTACAATACAGTATCTATCTACAGAACACTCATCAATATCAAAAATATCCAAACCCTCTCCCCTCCTCCCCCTTTCCCTACCCCTAAACATCCACAAAATCAAGAAACAAAAAACCAAATATCCCCCATACACCTAAAAACCACAAGCAACATCTTACACCTCCTCCTCCTCCCAGTACAGAACCCTTCCAACCATCGGCTACAAACACCCGATCTAATCAAAATTCCTCTACTGCTGCTAATCGATTAACGATAAGCGCCCCTCCCTCCATCCCTTCCCCTCCTTCTTTTTAAACCCCTAAAATTCCAAAAAATTCCAAAAAAGATGAACAACAAGAAAAAAAGAAAAACGACACAGCCCCCCTAAAAACTAAAGTACCCCAAGGTCCGACCCCAACCATCGGCAACAACCACCCGATCTCCCCAAACCCCCCATCCCGACTCCTACTACCCCTCCATCGCTCCCCATCGCTCTCCCGAGTCCCTTCCCCTCTTTCTTTTCTTTTTTTACCCCCTACCTAACCCCAAAAAAACCCAGTCCAAAAAAAAGAGGAACCAAAAAAAAATTCAGGCAAACTTACCGAACCTACCCTAAGTTAAGTTAAACTCAAGTAAAGTTACCGAAGTGAACTTGAACTTACGGTGCGGAACTTACGCTACGGAACCTAACTCAACCCAACCCAATCTAACATCTGTAAAGAACGGATGGAAGATCTCGGGATGTGAACTTACCATACATAGTAAATTACTACAGATAAAACCAGGATATAAGGATATTATTATTCGTAGGGGCAAGTTTCGTATCTGTAAGGATGTAACCGAGGTTATCCTTATATCCAGACTCTTACTCTTGAAGATTATAAGTTGACTTTGGTTGGTTGGTAGGTTGGTAAATTTAGGTAATAATAACTCAGATCCGCGATCGTAGCTACTGCTCACGATCCCAACTAACGAATCCATAGTATAATATAACACACCTTCCCCCAAATCCTAAGATATACCCCCTAACTCCATAAATATAATATAACATACCTTCCCCCCTCTCCCTCCCCTCCCCCTTCCCCTTCCCTCCCTACCCCCTACCAACCCCT